GTACACACTGCTCCGTTCTACCTTTCTCAAAATCTTTTATTTTCTTAGAAAAATTGCTTCTTTTATGAAAAATTTCCTCAAATCCTCAGTTTGAGTTCAGATACGCCCGAAGGTGCATCCGAATCCCTCAAACCAAGGCTCTGATACCAACTTGTAACACCGTAAATGTCCAAAACAATTTTTCATTTTTAAAACGTACTTCCATTCATAAAATATCATAGTAATCCAATGTATCACATATTATCACAATAAACAAATCCCAAGATCTCAAATACATAAATCCTCTCAGTGTGTACGGATCATGTCGGCGCCTTCCCACGGTCCTCGCTAGTACCTGAAACACATGACACAACAACTGTAAGCATAATTGCTTAGTGAGTTCCCCAAAATACCACATACAACACATACGCTACTCGAGGCTACAGTACGACCCTCCGGTCGATGTGTCTTAGCGGGACCCTCCAGTCCCGTAGCTCGTTGGACCCTCTGGTCCGGTCATAGCTCGTCGGACCCTTCGGTCCAGTCTGTGTCGTTGGACCCTTCGGTCCGGTCTATATCGTTGGGCCCTTCGGTCCGGTCTATATCGTTGGACCCTCCGGTCCGGTCTATACAACACATAGCATACATATAACACAATGCACATAATCTCATATATACATATAGCATACAAGACCCTTTGGTCTACACATAAATACCACCCTAGGTAATGTATAGTGAGAAGACTCACCTCGGGTATCTCGGATGATCTCGCACACGAATATACTGATCTAGCCCCCGCCTAATCACATACACAATATCCTCAAATAAATAATGGTTCTCAAAGGCTAGATTAAATCCCCTTCTACGATCCCTCAGAAGGGTAAAAGACCATTTTACCCCTCCTTGACCCAAAAGTCCAAATGTTGACCAAAACCCTAAAAGTCAACGAAAGCCAACGCTCAAACTTTGACCCGACTCGTCGAGTGCACATGGGCGACTCGGCGAGTCCATGCGGGTCCTCTGAATCCTTCTAGCCTCTCTTGGCTCGTCGAGTCATCCCTCCACTCGACGAGTTACACCTGTCACGAATCGCGAGGCAACCCCGACTCGACTCGTCGAGTACACTAATGGACTCGGCGAGTCCCTTCCATGGCAACACTGAAATGACCTTCTGAGGTCAGATCTGCTCCTCTATCCTATAGATCTGACCTTCCCAAACACGATAATCACGTAAAGGTTCGAACTTTAGGACCATGCATCACACTATCACCTCTATATGCCAAAATAACCCTTAATATGATAACCTAAGCCCCAAACTCATAAAGGACTGCATAAAGCTGGAGAATAGGGACTCTCTGGACCCCTTAAGGTTCAGATCTAATAACCATTTCACCTTGGGACCTCACACTCTCCAGATTTAAACTAAATAAGGCATAAAGAAACCCTAGGTTCAACCAAATCAACAAAATACGAGGAATAGCATAGAGTGATACCTCCAACAGCTTCCTCTGATCAAATGGAAGTAGATTCAAGCTCCCCAACTCGCCTAGCTTGACCTTCCTCCTTCCTTCTCGCTAAAATCCACAAGAAATGGTGAATAATGGCCTCCTTTCTCACTCACAAGGCTCACAGATGCTCTGGTACTCTCAAGGACGAAGGTAGCCGCAATTAAGGGCCATAAGGTCCTTTAAATAGGGCACATGACCGGGGATTTAGGGTTTCAACCCACAGCGCGGACTCGTCGAGTCCACCCTTTCCGACTCGTCGAGTCCGTTCATTAATCCAGTCAGCATTCGCGGTCCTACTCGACGAGTCCACGACCCAATTCGTCGAGTCCCTCTCTTTTACTCAAAATAAATGATCAAACATAATACCTGGAAATCCGGGTGTTACACTTAGTTTCTTTCCTCTCGAGCTTATGTTATGAGTTAGGTACAAAAACAAAAAGACACATCCGAACACACGAAGGAAACTGACATTAGGTTTCTGATTTAGAAGTTTTTCCTGTGGTGATACGTACCCCAAACTCCTTTGGGGAAGACGATTGATGACATAGGCTGAGGTATGCATTGCCTCTGCCCAGAACTTTCCTGGAACGTTCTTTGAATGCATGATGCCACCACAAACTTCTGCTAAATGTCTATTCTTTCTCTTCGAGACTCCATTTTGCTGCAGTGTGTTGGCACAAGTCAGTTGTCTTCTGATTTTGCATTCATCTAGGTGCTTCGTGAATTCCTGAGACAAATACTCACCACCATTGTCCGTCCTGAGCACTTTAATCTTCCTTCCACTTAGTTTCTTAGCCTCAATTTGGAAGGCTTTAAACTTCACCAACGTTTCACTTTTCTCCTTCATGAATGCTACCCACAGAAACCGTGAAAAGTCATCGATAAACGTGATCATAAATCTCATACCTCCAATAGACGAGCACCTTACTAGTCCAAATACATCACTATGCACTAATACAGAGGTTCTTTTGATCTGTAGTTGGACTGATGAAACTTTAGCTGGTGAGCTTTACCGAATTGACACCCCGAGCACACTACTTCTTGTTGAACTTTAAGTAGAGGCAGCCTTGCAACCAACTGTTTGTTCATCATCAAATCAAGTTTTAAATAACTTATGTGGCCTAGTCGAGAGTGCCACAAATCAACACTATGGGTATTCTTTGTTTCTCTATATAGACAGCTTCCGCGGAAAGAACATAAACGGAGTCTCGTCGATGGGCACTTAGTACGGGTCCAAATAGGACGTATTTTCCTGTAACAGTTATCTGTGGGACAGAAAAGAGATTCTTCCCCATACCAGGTACATGAAACACATTGTCTAGCTTTACCTCTTTCTGATCTGAACTCGTGGGAAACATAACATCTCCAACGTGAGCGATTTTGTGTCGTGAGTTGTCAGTAATCACCACTACTTGATTTCCACGATATGACACTAGATTTAGGAGTCGACTTTTCTCCCCTGTCATATGATTTGTACAGCCGGAGTCTAAAATCCAGTCGTCTAACGTGTTCATTTGACTCCCAGTTGACGTGGCTAGGGCAAAACGTAGTTGCACATGGGTTGGACTCATTTTTCCGTATTGGGCTTCAACTCCTTGGGTCAGATCACTATTCACAACTTGGGCCATTAGGGCTTCGGTTTCCCAACCTGCTTCATGGTTCTCAGTTGCCGCCACATTGCCTTCTTCTTTAGTAGAGTGACAATGCTTTTCCATGTGTCCTCTTCTTCCACAATTGTGACATTTGTAGGGAAATCTCTTACCATGATTTCCTGGTTTCCTTCCACTGGATCCTTCACCTTTCTCGTACGTTCGGTTCATCTTCTCACCTTCAGATTTCTTAGCACGTTCATGATTTCGGTTCTATGAATGGGATGAGTTATGCATGGAATTAGACTTAGCCTTGTTTACATACATAGTTGTTTCCTCAAGCTTTGGTTGCACACCAAAAAATTGTTTCGCGAGGGATTCTTGACTGGACAGTAGATTTTCAAACTCAGTGATTGAAGGTTGAGTCGGCCACCCTTGAATAGCTACTACAAAGGATCGATATTCAGGCTTCAAGCCATGAATAATGATCATATTCATGCGAGGTTCACCTATATTTCCCTGTGGATCCAGTTCTCTTATTTCACAACACAAGCTCTTAACTTTGTGAAAGTATTGCGGGATCGTTAAATCCCGTTGAGCCACATACATCAACTCGTTTTCCAACAATTGCAATTTCGCATCATTCTTCTTGGAGAAAAGTGCCTTCAAAGCATCCCACGCTTCCTTGGGTGTGTTGAAGTCTCGAATGTGTTCGAGCAATTCTTCTTCAATCATTGTTTTGATAACGAACATTGCTTTTCCTGTCTTCACTTTCCATTTGTGTATCGCTCCGTTGGTATCAATCCGTGGTGTTTGTTCCTTCTACAACGTCCCACAAGTCTTGTCCCAACAAGTAGGAACTCATGCAGGTTGACCATGTATTGTAATTGGTTTGACCCATCTTCTTGACACCTCCGATTACAATACCTTTCCTACCTGCTGCAACGGTAACTCAGGATCTGATACCATTTGTTGGTTTCTAAACACAATAAGAAGGAACTAGAGAATGAAGAAATACAGAGTGATCATACAAGTTTCTGCTGAACGTATCTTATATTTCATGTGCATAACAAATGAAGGGAAATACAAAGTACTTAAAGGAAACAAAAACAACTAACTACCCACTACACAGTCAAAGCAGAAAAATAGCAGGAAAATAGCCACAAAGGCACAAACTAAAACATGGAAATAACAACCTTCAACGTGCAAATATTACCAAGTCAAAGTGACCTGATGATGTGGTCTCCATGATGTTGCTAGCCAACATTGGAATGGTCTGTTCCGATTGGTTTTCAACGCCTTTTACAGTCGGAAATAAGGCCCTTTTGTAGCAATAGGCTGGCCATTAACATTTCTTGTCTACTTTTTGAAATCTCCCTATTCTAATAAAAGAATAGTTTTATTCTCCTTTTGCCATGTGTCATCTTATTAGGCCTTCTAATTAATGTATATTTTATTCTCATTTTGACATGTGTCAACCTATTAAGCCTCCTAATTAATGCATGTCACTTGTCAACCTATTGATTCTCCATTTCAAATTTCAAAATTTAAATTTTCCACTCTAATTACATTAAATTAATAATATTATAATAAAAATTAAAATAAAATTAATACAAATTATAAGGTGATATAATTTCATGTATTATTTAAATCAACTATTATAATTTTATATAACTAAAAAATATATCTTAATTAACAATTTATTTAAAATAACTTATTAATAATTTTTAGTTTTAACTATGAAAGTTTAATTAAATTTATAACCGTGGTTCCCACGGTTATAAACTAGTTTATAGTATAGAACAAGATTGCCATTTGAATTCACCAATCGGCTTATGTCCTATAAACTAGTTTATAGTATAGAACAAGATTGCCATTTGAATTCACCAATCGGCTTATGTCCTACTAAAATTAAACGTCAAAATACATAACTAATTAAAAGAAGTAGTATTTATTATTTAAGCTTACAAACATTGATAAACCTTACAAACAGAAAGATGCAGCAAATCCGTAAAAACTAGTGTACGTGACTAGTAAACCTTATAAATTGTCCAGAAAAGATACATGACACGCACTACATATATAGGTGTAACATGTTCTTCCTGCAGTGTTTATTAGTATGGAACCCAAACAACATGATCTTCGGGTAAGAAATGGCAAACTGGAACACTTCCTGGTTTGACATTGAGCACTTGAAACGACAAATGTTTCGGATTCCACTTCGAAGTGTCTGTATGACAAACGGTCACTGCTTTAGCTTTGGTACCATCAGCTCCCACCAAAGAAACAGAATACGCTCGAGTGCTGACAGTTTTGTGGCAATAAAACACAGCATATGCGTACTTTTGCTTATGGCAAACCACAGCTTTATCTGCAGCAAGTTTCTTGGCTCCTTCAATCGTGTACTTTTGTAACGGAGTACTTTCTTTAGCGTTTACCTCTGTTGATATCGCTTTAACGTTTTTACCTAACGTGGTGGTACTAAAATCGACCATCGACTCTAATGAGGTAGCACAACATTTTTCCTCGCCTTGGATTCCTTTGTTCTCGCATTCCCTTAGTGTTTGCTTCATGTATTGGGCTTCCATGGAGTCGGATTTTATCGAGAACTCATTGTAGATTTGAGGAAGTTTGTTTGATGAAAATGATATAGACTCAGCTACCTGTCGAGGTAAGAAAGTGACTTTTTGGTCGTCTTTAATAAAGTGTAACTTCATTTCTGTGCCTTGATGCAAGTCGTTTTCCAAGAAAAAAAACGCTACGTTTGGGTTATCCTTGAGTTGATCTTCGGAGGCAGCATAGTTGTATATGAATGGATTTGGTCCGTATCCAATACCAACATCCGTGTGTTTCCCTGGTTTTCCTGTATGCACAGCTACACCGTCCTCTCCAACTCCGACTGCTGTATTCTTCTCTTCCGACCATTCTGTAAATCAATAAATTATTTCTACCAAATCTGTAGAGATTACAGCAAAGGAGAAACAATAAAGAAATCAGAAATAAAGATGAACCTGTAGTTTGTACAAGTTCCTTGATTGCCTTGGGCATAGGACTGTTTGGCAATACAGACTTCCAGTAAACATCAGGATTCACTGCATGACTTGCAACCAGCGCTAGCTGATGGAAACCACAATTAAGCACAAATGAATTCAGCTCCAAAGTATCATACACGAACACATTTAATACTTCAAACCTTACGAGAATTTCTTGGGCCAATTGGTGGTGTAAAAAGACATTAAATATTCTGAATTTTTAAAATAGTAAAAAAGTTAATGATGATCATGAGAATGTACTTACAGAAAAAAGTGTATAAACCTTGAGTAGACTGAAGTTCATTGGAGAAAAACGGAAACTGAAATCAAACTGAATGTGGAAGTTAGCGTTTGATGATGTATGGAGAATGGGTTTGGTGGAGTATTTATAAAGGAGTTAATTAATACAAAATGCCACACTCACCAAGAAAAACGCCCAGTTATAATTATGGCCAACTACCGACTATAAAGATCAAGTATGCCAAGCCCACATATGTGTGGAACGGGCGGCAATATTTATGCTTGAATGCAATATGACAGTTATGGTGGTTATAATATCAGTTAATTAGTTGGTTATGAGTAATTGAGTATCATCAACCGCTAATATGAAGGGGTGCTTTGTAGGGTTGTGAAGGTTCAAAAGGCACCTGTCGTATACTATATATATGTTACGTGTTATGCTATAAATTGTTGGTATATATTCTTCGTAAAAAAGATCTTACATTCACAAAGAGCTCCATGTATTATGGCGACCACGTGTAGCGTGGCTTAGTGGCTGATGGAGTTTTTGGCAAATGCTTGGCATCTCTGGTGAGGAATAGGGAGGACGCAATGATAGGGATTATAATGATGCATATTCACGCACGTACACAAAGGAGGCAGGAAGAACGAACAAAACAAAAGTTTCTGAATATACCCATGTTGGCATTAACTGCTACTGCCACAACTAGTGTGAGAGAGTAGAACAGAAAAGATATGTGCGTTGGATTAATAAAAAGGTTTGTTAGTTCTTGGTGAAATTATTAGCACATCATATAGAGGTGCACAAAAAAACCGGTTCACGAACCGATCCGGTGTCCGAACTGAAAACCGGTTCACCCTGAACCGGTTCACTCTGAACCGGTTCACTCCTGAACCGAACCGATGCCAAACCGAACCGCCGGTTTATACCAATTCACATTTCTAAACATTGGGACCGGTTTTGAACTGGTGTATCGAACCGGTGTACCGAATCGGTTTTGAACCTATTCTACCCGTTTATGGCTGTTAGACTCTCTTTTTTGGGTCCCTTTTGGTCATATTCACCAATACTTGATAGTCAAACATCTCAATTCAATGCACATATACACCAAAACTAGGGGTGACAATTGATGACACGACACGACAAAAATACACGACACGAAACAAAATTGAGACGAAACTGAAATTCGAATTTGTGTTCGTGTCAAGTGTAAAAAACACGACGTCGTGTCGTGTCGTGTTCAAAATTTGACACGATTTAACATTTTTTTTGTCGTGTTTTTCATGTTATGTATGAATAAATATTAATTAAATACATTAATTGTTATTTCATGTTATTTTTGTCGTGTCGTGTCGTGCTTGTCGTTTTTTAATCGGTTCATTTTCGTGTTAGGTAAAAAAACCCGAGATCGTGTCGTGTCGTGTTCGTGTTACATAAAATATTGCCGTGTCGTGTCGTGTCAGACAAAAACACGACACGATGACCCGATTTGCCACCCCTAACCAAAACCAAATAAACCAACTGTTTCTTTATTTTAGCTTGTGAAATCACCAAATCTTAAACTAATTCACCAAAACAAAAATTACCCCATGCATATATTACCCTGTTTGGCCCAAAAACAAAACTAACACAAAAAAAAAACATCGGTCATAGTGAACCAGTTTGTAGAACCGCTTTATAGTGAATCGGTTTAAAAAAGACCGAGCCGGTATATATAGGTTCGGATTATTTTGATGGTGAACCGTTTTGGAACCAGTTTAGGGGGGGAACCGGTTTTGACTTTGTTGACAAGAACCGAACTGGTTCGAAAAAAAAACCGGTTTGTGCACGTCTATATGTATGTATATTAGCTTAGGCCCAAGTATTGTATTTGTAATCTAATCTAGTCCATTGTATTGTAGTCCATTATGTATTATTTGGATTATATTTGTTGGGGTACAAAGTTTTCCATGAATGACTTTGTAATGTTTGACTTTTGTAAAACCCACTTGCATGTGGTGTATTAGCCTTTTGACATGAGAGATAGAGAGTGAGAGAGAGACATGTAAACACCTCTATATAAGGTGGGTTTATTCCAATTGTAGAGGTGTGCTTGAGAGATGTAAAAGTTGAGTGTGTAAGTGTGTGTTATTTATGTAGTCTAGATCTAGATCCTTTTTGTGTAACACCATATACAATCAATACATCTTTTGAACATCCAAATCACCATGTTCATTGTGCAAACTTTAATTCCGCATGCCAAACCATGTTCTTATAGTCACAACAATTGGTATCAGAGCGGGTCTTCAAGATCAAGGTGATTTTTGAAGAACGATTCTCGGTTTGGCAACATTTGTCACAATTGGAGCAATTTTTGGTGAGTCTCTCTCTATGATCTCTCTTAATTTCATTGAAATCGTGCGTTGCGTTTTTTGATTTGTGATCGTTTGACTCGTTGGATCAAATTTTTCTTGAAAAACCCCATTGATGATCCAATAATTTTTTTTAAGATAAAAAACAAAATCAAATTTTCATCACTATTCATTAAATCCGATATTCGAATCCCAAAACAATTTCCATTACTTAAATGTTCATCAGATTGTATTTTGAGCCCAATATTGTGATCAATTACTATTCATTCAACTTTTGAGCCCAATACATTTATGTTTTGTCCGATTTCATTATTTGAGCCTAATGAGTTGATAAATCCATTCAACTTAAATCGTTGTTGGTCAAAGCTATTCCTCATCATACGACACTGTATCGGATTGTACTTTTTGGAAGAACATGTCTTGATTTATTGATCACGAGTGTTCTTGAGTTCCAGCTTTCGTTTCAGCGTTTTTGTTAATTGATTAGAAGTTGTTTGTGAATCTAGACTTGCGAATCGGTTGGATAAGAGTTGCTCAATTATAAATCGATGATGATCAAGTAACTGTCGATAAATTCTTTGATTTGGATGAAATTGATCAAGAACCATCAATTATTTTCTGTTTGATATGAATATCGAGGATAGATTCATGGATTTGGGTTTGTCGATTGATGAATTGAAGAGTCAAAACAAACAGTCAAAATTGGTGTTCTTGGTTCAACTTGTACGCATGCTTTACTGAGTTGTACAATTGGTTCATCATCGTTTTGTTCTTCAGTTCCGATTTCACTTCATTGTTCCCAATAATTAATGATAAATTGAAATCAAGTTTTGATGGTGTTGAATTCGTGTTCGTTGTATGACTTTCAATTTTGACTGGTCTTACTTTGAATCGATTGAAAGTCGAATTTATCATGGTCCACTGGAAATAGTTTGGAATCGATGATGTTGAAGTCGATTGAACGCAATATGTGAAATCGATTTGGGTTAAGATTCGAAGACTTGAATATCGATCTGTTATATCAAGAAGTAAATGTTTCGAAGCCTTGGTTATATGATCGACGATTGGATGGTGTTTGATTGTGAGTTGGGGAAGAACACAAGATGACGTCGAATAAAGTTTTGAACAGATTTGATCAATCGGTTGGAATGTCAAATATCATTTTGTTATTGGACGATTTAAGATGACCTTTGTTGTAAGGAGATGGTTTGCTATTGAACTGATTTTGGGATCACAGTGTTTAGATGTCGAATGGTCTAAAAAATGATGTTCGTTTGTTGATTGACAATGTATTCAACAATCAAAGCCATAAATTTAGAAAGCAACCGAGGGAATTCGATTTTGGGGCTCTCAGTCATGAAGAGTGGACGAACGAAGGGTTTGGTTTGGGGACAAGCGAAATTTTGATTGTGAACAAATGATCGACTGGGTTGGAAATCTAAGCTTAACTGAGTATAAATCATTCGAAGGGTGTTGTTTTTTTAAATGAAGATTTGGAATATTTGGATTTGTACGAAGAGTGTTTAATGTTGGGTTTGTATACAGGGATCGATTTCAATTGGAAATTGAATGGAAACGAAGACTGTAAGAACGAAAATGTTGATTCGTACGAAGGGTGCAGTTGAATTTCATACGAAGAGGAGAGAGAAAATGGGCAGATGAGGTTTCATACGAAGAGGAGAGAGAAATGGGCAGATGCAGTTTTGTACGAAGGGTAGTAGATGATTTGTACGAAGGGTGGAGACCAATTCATACGAAAGAAACGGTGAGAATGAACGAAGAGGGAAGGAGAAAAACTCAAAGTTTCGCATATGGTCCTTAAAGTTTCGTTAATATGGCAAACCTTCGTATGTTTGATGAAACCTTCGTATGATTTGAACAAATGACAAATTTTCAAATTCAGTCCCTGAACCTTCGAATATTTGACACTTCGAAAATTAATTGAAGTTTCGAATGTTTGACACTTTTCACCCAATTTCGAAAATTAATTGAAGCTTCGTATGTTTGGGGTGATTCTTCGTATGTTTGGAACACAAAGGGCAGAATTTTCGAAAATAGTCCCTGAGGATTCGAATGTTTGGCAGTTTGTACCCAAATTCGAAAAATGACTGTTTTTGCTGAAAATTGAAGAAAATACATTTCAGGCCCCTGCAGTTTATGCAAATTGACGCTTTCTACCCAGCTTTGGAAAAGGGGGAGAGTTTTGCATTTTTGGCTGTTTTGGGCGCACCGGGTCACTGTAGTATTTTGAAATTGACAATTTCTACCCATTTTTTGAGAAATTTTGTCAATGGCGATCCGTGAACGAAGCTAAAAATTGAATATTTTTTGGGTTTTCCGGATTAAAGCACAAAGTTTATGCCACATGTTAAGGGGGAGTTTTGACACGAAAAATTCCGAATAGAGCACGTTCTCTTTCCTTGAAGGTTTTATAATCAAATTTCGATTATAAAAAGGGGGATAAATTTATATGGAAATTCGAACTTGAATTTTTCATATTACGCGGATTTGAAGACCGAAGTGACCTTAATTTTTGAAGTATACGAAATGATGAAATTGGAAGTTCGGAAGTGATGTATTCGAAATGGGTTTGGTTTTATTGAAGATTTGTGGGGTGTGCTTTATGCTCAACTTTTGGTGATCAATTTGGAGTTTGAGAAGCTCGTGATCATTTGTTGATGCTCGGTTTGTACGGTCTCACATCCTAGAGCCCAAATTGAAGAATCATGGAAGAATTGAAGATTGAAGTTCGTTTCGACATGTGTCACCCTTGAGGCTCGGATCGCGTAGTTGCTCGATTTTGGAAGATTTGAAGTGGGTCATTCATTCCTAACTTTGAGGGGGAGAATGTTGGGGTACAAAGTTTTCCATGAATGACTTTGTAATGTTTGACTTTTGTAAAACCCACTTGCATGTGGTGTATTAGCCTTTTGACATGAGAGATAGAGAGTGAGAGAGAGACATGTAAACATCTCTATATAAGGTGGGTTTATTCCACTTGTAGAGGTGTGCTTGAGAGATGTAAAAGTTGAGTGTGTAAGTGTGTGTCATTTATGTAGTCTAGATCTAGATCCTTTTTGTGTAACACCATATACAATCAATACATCTCTTGAACACCCAAATCACCATGTTCATTGTGCAAACTTTAATTCCGCATGCCGAACCATGTTCTTATAGTCACAACAATATTAATGAAATCATAGGCCAAAGGCCAATTCACGGGTAAATAACGTTGTTACTTGGTAGGCCTGACAATCGTGTCGTGTTCGGGTTGGCGGGTCAAAATACACCAACCCGAACATGACCCATTTAACTATAGAGGTCACGGGTTGGCGGGTTTGAAACATAAACCCATATATGACCCGTCAACCCATTTATTTATACGGGTTCACAGGTGGGCGGGTTCGTGGGTTAGATGTTACTACTAGATGGAATTCTATGCAGACGTCAACCAGTAATTGGAAGTCAATACTCAATCGCAGGTTCTTCGTGAGTTCAGGGCTTCAGGCGCCGACGTCATTCAATTCATGCCGTTGTTTTTGTCGTTCATCACAGAGGGGAGATTGGGAGAGGGCTGCTTATTCGATTTTGTTTGTGTCTTTGTGAGTGCTGAGATTATTTAGGGCAAACGTCAAACGGAAAATATGTTACATAGGTCAAATGGTCAATGACATCCTATCCTAGATGTATAAACTGTATAATACTTAAGTTTTAATACATTTAAAAAACATATAATTTTTTTTATTAAAATTCTAAACGGGTTGGTGAGTCAACCTGTATATTTTTTGAGAAACCCATATATGACCTGTTTAATTAACGGGTTGGCTGGTTAGCGGGTTGACGAGTTGAAAAACTCAACCCAAACCCGTTTATTTTGTGTCGTGTCGCGGGTCGTGTCGATAATTGTCAGGTTTAATTACATGGTATCAGAAAGCTTTCCATTTTTTTTCTCTAAACCTATCTCCTTCTTCTTCTTGTTCTCGGCAATACTCTGTTATGCTTCTCCTCTCTTCCAATCGCTCCTCTCTAATCTGCCACAAGGATGTCTGAATCATCCAAGAAAACCAAACCTTTTGGTGTAACCAACATTAAAGTCTACATTCCTCTGATTTTGGATCTTAACAAGCTGAAATATGATGCTTGGAAATAACTCTTCCAAACCCACTGCAACAATTTTGGAGCCAAAGGTCATCTCACAGGTACTTCTAAACCCGCAGATGCCAACGATGTCGATTGGTCCAATCTTGACGATCTTGTCAAGATGTGGATCTATGGAACTGTCACTCAAAGTCTTCTCAACATGATCCTCAAACCAGGTGCTACTGATCATACCGTATGGACTGATCTTGAAACTTTATTCATAGAAAACAAACAAACAAGAGAAATTGAGCTTGATCAAGAACTTCGAACCCTAACTCTAGGCGATCTCTCCATATCTGATTATTGTGAAAGAATGAAGGTGATTTCAGATTTACTCGTAAACATAGGATCATCGGTGACTGAACAAACATTGGTTACATATCTCATTAATGTCCTGTCACCAAATTTTGACAACATTGCTATTGTCTTGCACCATCAAGACCTGTTTCCATCTCTTTTAAAATGCAGGCCAATTCTTACCTTGGAGGAGCGAACCATGAGTCATAATCGATCCACCCAACCTCTCCATATGGATCATGCATCGTCACCTCAAGCTCTACATGCTAGAAACCCCAACCCCTCCAACTCACACAACAGACCCTTCCCTCAAAACAACCGAGGTGGCAGTCGCCCTTCACAACCGTGTCGCGGTGGCTCCCACTCAACTGATAACCGCCGCCCATTCAGAACCACCACCACAATACCATTGCTGCCATCGGGTTTTCCATGGCCTCCATACCCGGCCCCGTGGAATCCCTACACCTGGTCATATCCTTCCTAGCAACAACTCACTCGACCACCGGCTTCCACTACTTACCAACTAATGAAAACCAGCAGCCTAGAGTCCTTGATACTGCTCCAACCTCGGGTTTACCGACTCAACAGCCCCTACAGCAGCCTTCGATGCTGCCCCTCAACATCAAAATCTTGTTCCTCTAGCTTAATGGTTTCCCCCACTGTCCCTGGATCAACCAATGGCACATGGACACAGGAGCTACCACTCATCTCACCTCGGACACATGTAAACTCACTACTTTTGGCAACAACAATAATATAAACCACGTTCTTGTTGCCAATGGTTCTTCCATACCTGTTTATCAATCCGGCCATACCAAATTACAGTCCTTGCATTGTCCCTTACACCTCGTAATGTATTAGTCACACCTAATATTTTCAAAAACCTCATATATGTTCGTCGCTTTACACCTGATAATCTTTTTTCTATTGAATTTGATTCGTGTGGTTTTTCTGTGAAGGATCTTAAAACTCGTCATCTTCTGCTTAGGTGTGACAGCTTCGGTGGCCTCCACCCAGTCATTCCCTCTACCCAAGTTGCTCTTCTTGCTGGTTCTACTTCCTTGTGGCATCAGCGTCTCGGTCACCCTGGAGCTCATGTTTTTAATCATTTAGTTTCCAATAAATTAATTGCGTGTAATAAAAGTTCTAGTACTGTTTCTTGCCAAGCTTGTCAGCTTGGCAAGCATATTCGTTTACCTTTTGAAAGCCCCTACAGCAACCTTCTATGCTGCCCCTCAACATCAAAATCTTGTTCCTCTAGCTTAATCGTTTCCCCCACTGTCCCTGGATCAACCAATGGCACATGGACACAGGAGCTACCACTCATCTCACCTCGGACACATGTAAACTCACTACTTTTGGCAACAACAATAATATAAACCACGTTCTTGTTGCCAATGGTTCTTCCATACCTGTTTATCAATCCAGCCATACCAAATTACAGTCCTTGCATTGTCCCTTACACCTCGTAATGTATTAGTCACACCTAATATTTTCAAAAACCTCATATATGTTCGTCGCTTTACAACTGTTAATCTTGTTTCTATTGAATTTGATCGGTGTGGTTTTTCTGTGAAGGATCTCAAAACTCGTCATCTTCTGCTTAGGTGTGACAGCTCCGGTGGCCTCCACCCAGTCATTCCCTCTACCCAAGTTGCTCTTCTTGATGGTTCTACTTCCTTGTGGCATCAGCGTCTCGGTCACCCTGGAGCTCATGTTTTTAATCATTTAGTTTCCAATAAATTAATTGCATGTAATAAAAGTTCTAGTACTGTTTCTTGCCAAGCTTGTCAGCTTGGCAAGCATATTCGTTTACCTTTTGAAAGTTCAAACACTATTGTTTCTGGTTTATTTGATATTGTTCATTCTGATTTATGGAAATCTCCTGTTGAAAGTATTAGTGGTATAAACAATTATATTCTCTTTCTTGATCACTTTCCCCATTTTTTCTGGGTTTATCCTCTTAGAAAGAAATTGGAAGTTTTCTAAAAATTCTTATACTTTCGTGCCTTTGTCAAAAACCAATTCAAAACTGATATTAAAAGTTTTCAATGTGACCATGGGGTGAATTTGACAACCATCTTTTTCATAATTTATTCAATGAAAATGGCATCACTTTCTGTTAGACATATATTATGTATACATGTATTTATTTATATATTATATTGGTCTTATTTCATTGTTAAAGCTCATAAGTCTCGTATTGCCCTACTTTCCTATTATTCCATGTATCATTATATGGTGACTATGTACTTATATAGAAAAATATTTTATTAACATGGTATCAGGCCTCTAATATCCTTGCCGATCCTATTCTTTTTTCCTCTACTTTCCTCTCTTTCCGTTAAATACCTTCTGTATTCTACAATTCTTCTTCTTATTTTCTCCTTCTTTTCTTTCCATGTCCCCTTCAGTATCCCCCACTATCCTCAATGCAAATCACAACAACCAAAATCATTTTTTTAGTTGTAAAAATCAGCAAAGCAACTCTGGGAGAGGCGGAGGACATCGTGGCGAAAGAGGGCGACGATCCGATGGCCAATAGCAACGCCGTGGTGGACACATGCAGCTATTGATCACAAATTAGGAAGGGGGTCACTGGAATTTCCAGCCGGCTGGAGCCTCCTTTGCGTCGTCGATCAATCAACAACGTCCCCAACAATACACTGGTGGACTACCTCCTCCTGCTATCCCGTTTTACCTTAATAATAATCAGGCCCACTAGCCCAGAAATTCCTTCCAGCAACAGAAAAACAGCCACTCCAACATGCCTAATCTCCGGTTTATGCTTCTCAGGCCCAACAACATCAAACTTTATTTGCTGGACATCCCAACACATTGTAGTATTTTAATTTTCCAGCTACAACAAATCTACCGCAAGCTTTTTGATGGGTTTTGAGCATAACAACAATTCCTATGTGTACATACAATCCTAATGCTTTGGATCTAGATTTTCTCTAATTGAACATGCAAACTTGAACACAAAAGGAGAAACCCTAGATAGCAACTACAATTTTTGAAATCTATCTAAAACTAGGGTTTGATTACATACCTTGATTGTTATATTTTAATAACAATAATTCCCTTGTAGATCTTGAAACTTGAGAACTTAGTGTCACAAGTGTAACACCTCTAATAGCTTACAAACACACAATGCAAGAGAATGATATGATAGAGGAGGAAGGGAACCAATTTTCAGTTTCTAGCTTCTTCAAATAGTGGCCGAAATTCTCATGCTCAAGGACTCTATTTATAGTGTACCAAGGATGCTATGGATAACCCTAATTTGAATAAAATATCATTATCTCAAATATGGTAATTATCCACCTCCTTTGATTATGCATAGGTGATAAGATATTCTAGAAACTCTAAATAATCTTACTCATATACATCAATTTCGTCCACCCTTCCCCTAAGAAGGTTATGGACTCTTTTGCTCAACTATTGAACAATTGCACTTTTAGTCCCTGCACTTTCAATTAATTCCTTTAATCCCAAAATCAATTCCAAATTAATTTCTGATTAAATATTAATTAATAATATGATTACTAATTAATATATTATTTCCATAACATATCAATAAATCATTTATTCCAATTTATTAATCAATTAATAATTTTTTCCTCTTCCTCAATAATCATCCTGTCTAGTTGCACGTGTGAAGGCAACCCAAAAGGACCATGCCACTGTCAATTTAAGTACATACCAATTATATTTATGGACTTAGACACCTAATCCAACAGTCTCCCACTTGGATAAGTCTAATAACTATAGTTGCAAGTATGACTTCCAAAACCGACAAGCAATCGTAGCTCTCAAAGCTTCTGTCGAACTCTGACTTAGTCAGTTGCGTGTCCTAAGATAAGTGATCAAATATTCTTCCGGTCTACAAGATATCGTATAGACATGAGACATGGATTATAATCAATCTCCCTGTCCAAGATTTGTTTCCCTATTTCTGATTTATGACGACTGATATTAGACTACTAATTGAACATATCAATTCAGTCCAGGCTTGGCCAAGCGCTTTAGATGTCATCATCAAATCATCGAGGGGTCCACATATATCGCTTTTACCGTTAGGTTGAAAGGAACGGATAAACTTCGACTTATATGCTTTCACTATTCAATCATCAAATCACGCACAAAAATACATTTTATAACATCAATTTACTTATGCGTTTACGCATTATCGATGGACAAGTGACTCGTAAACAACAACTCATATATCTCCGTTTCAAGAATATAAGATATTATCGTCTCAAAATTACTTGTGATAAAATCCATGAAGTAATTCTCTGAGCGTGGGTTTATCCAATACTTAAATCCCTATTTCAAAAGTACTCATGAATACTGCAGCAAACCATTGCTATGTCTAACCCCTTAGACAATCTACAGTCTGATTCATGACAGTCTTAATTCGCTACTTACTTCCAAAAGTACGATTGACTACGAATATTTGAATAATCTAATTATTCGGGAAGTCAAACATGCGAAGTGAAATACAATAATAACCTAATTAACTATGGTCTCAAAACTATTGAATATAAATAAAACACTTATTATTTAATCATCATATTAATTAGACTTTATTCATTGTATAATGTTTCGATTAATCAACTAAACACTTGAATTAAACATCAGTCATGCCGTGTTATAAACATGCATACTATGTCTCTCTATGGTCCTTCCTTTGTGAACAGATCAATTGGATATAATTCCAATGATGCTCATATCACAATTCCAAACCCTTATTACAAGTGTAAGAATTCCAAATTCTTGTCACCACTAAATGTGTTAGAGTATAACCTTGCATGCAATATCCTTCTTTGTGATGACGTGGCATCAAAGTCATCGGGACTTAGCCAATGATGTCACAAAATGCTCTATTGAAACTTTGTTACTTAAAACAATTTCCTTGTAACGAAGTCTCAAATTCAAGATACAATTCTTGAACACCTTCCTTGCATTAAAGTTTCTAACTTACATGTAGATTCTAATCATTAACTCTCATTATGGAAACATTTTCATATTCCCATATGACTATCAATTCTGATCAAGAATTATCCCAATCTGAAACATGTCACTATGGTCCTTCCAAATTTATACTTCCAACTGTCCACAAGCAACCAATCTTTAGCGAACCTTAGATTGTCATTTAACAGTTGTTTAACAACTCTAGTCATATCCAGTTCTAGTCCTTTTCCCTCTCAATGCCCTAGGCATTTGGAAAAATCAGAACAAGTGAATATTATAGCATATTTAATCAATCCTATATCCGAAGCATATGGGACTTGATTCATAATGTATTATACAAACACCTGATATATGTTCAGTCTCTTGCTATAATATTTCCATATATTGAATTTCCTATGTTGAAACATTTCAACATGATATTCATATATTCCCATGACCAAGTTCTTTTAAATCCTTTAATATAAACTTTTAGATTTTAAATGAAGTATAAGTGTCCTCTCCCCTAAA